GAATGGCAAGTTTTACTCAATATTTTAGGGACCTAGGTTTCTATGTTGGTTGATTTAAGTGAACTTAATTAATCATCTCAACATTCGAAATCCTAAACATGCATCTAACATATAATTCATATATATAAACATAAATATATATCGAAAACATAAATAGAGATGCATTTGGCAACTAGCATGACCCCTTGAGATCTTCAAGTCTTCAAAAAGTCTTCATTTGCAACATCATGGCTTTGTCTTCTAAGAACCCCGTCTTCAAGACTTGACCAAAATATTACAATTGCTAGTATCTACGATTAGGACTAATCTAAATATTAAGGTACAAAAATACTCAACGGTTCGCAAACCGTATTTAGATTTACAAAAATACATCACGGATCACAGTTCGTATTTTCTATCCTAATCGGGCCCCACTAGTTGCCATTTCATAAAACCTGTGAGAGAATTTACATTCCATTCATCCATTCACTATCTGTGAATGGCCCATGCATTTTACAATGATAAACAAGTAACAATGCATAAAACGCGCGAGAACTAGTAACTAATCTAGGTGGTTAATCCAATTAACACGCCTAATTAAACTAGTCAAAGTTGTTTTAACCGGTTATGGAAATAACTTAGAGACGCTCCCACTAAATTCCGCATCCAACTTAACTAATCCAATTAATTAAGTCGGTGAACCCAAATATTTGCCAAAATTAATTTTGCAAATGTCGCTCAAAAACCGAGGCCTAGCCTCCAAAAATTTTAATTAAATAAACAAAATAATTAAAATAATTAAAACGACAATTTAAGCAAAATTACGAATTCCAAAATGTCTAAGTGCCTAGCACTAAGACTTGGAGTCCAAAAAAAAAGTACCCTTATTTACATATTAAGCAACGCTAAAATTAACTTTAAAATAGCATCGCCTTAATAACCCGGGGTTATTGTGCCAATTATGGGATTGTACGTACCGTACAACAAGCACGTAGTATCCCCATGCGCATCCCCGCAACACCAAGCATGCATGTGGGCTGCTTGTGCTCGCATGCGCTACGCCCAGCCCAACCAAGCGTAGCAGCACGCACAGCGCGCACAGCATTATGCTGCTGCTGCGCCATGCTGCTACTTGCTGCTGGCTGGCGCGCTATGCTGCTGGCAACGAGCAGCATCCTACGCCCTTCCTTGCACACACACACGCACAACACCAAGCACTCAAAAATGAAGTGCCCAGCAGCCTCGGCAGCCACATATGAGTTGCATGAACAACCTAGCTGGCCGAGAGCTAGCTCGGGGCTCTTAGGCCTCGTGTTGCGTGCTAATGTTTCGAAAATTATTGATTTTGTGAGTGACATTATAAATCAATTCTAAATTAATTTTAGAATCAATTTTGAGGAAAAATGAAAAATTACAAGTCCAACTTAAATAATTCATCCAAAAGCAATTAACCAAATTTATTTCCAAGAACCATTCTTTAATAAAATTGGTTTAACTTGGTGTAATGAAATAAATTAGGGCAATTCTCACTATTAATTTAATCACTTTAAATTAATCTTGAGATTTTGACAAAATAAAAGGGAGTTGGAAAAAATGAACATAAGTTCAATAAAGACTCCAACTTTATTTCTTGTGACTTCATGAAAAATTATATCTTCCAATATGAAGATAAACCAATTTCAATCACAAGTTTTAAACTTTATGATTCCAATCAACTAAAAAATGATTAAATCAACAAAGTTTAACCAAAATTCATGGAATTTAGTAACTCAAAGTTTCAATCACTTATCATAAATAAAGATTGAATCTTTAGTACTTGGAAGCAACAAAGAATAACAATTTCACACTTAATGCAATCAATTTGCAATTATGTGAAAAATAAAACCAAACTTTCAAGCACCAATTACTACCAAGTAATCATGCTTAAAGTGGTCTAAAATTGCATATAAATTAAGGAAAGAACCAAATACATAACCACCATAAATATGCAATCAATTTTCAAGGTTAGAAAGAATTAAAATTTTTCGTCAAAACAAAAAATCCCTCGAAAAATGCATTTCTGGTCATTTTTTGGCTAAAAACCGAGTCTTGAAAGGGTAAAACCATTTCCAGAACGCCTTTTCCACTCAAAATTCACTATTTTTGGGTCAAAATCTGGGTTCGGGAGCTGAAGACAGCTCTAATACGAGGTAAAAATTGGAAAAATGAGTTACTAATCTAATTAGGAACTTAAAACCAGAAAAATTAAGCCATAAAAACACCTTGAAAAAATTATGATTTTAAAAATAAACAAGCGAGGCTCCGATACCGCTGTTGGGGTTTGGTGAGTCCGACTCACCGCGGAAACAAACCCAAAAACAAGACCGCACTCGCAATGAATAAAACCATAAACATAATTATATTAATCACAAGATTAAGATAAGATAATTACCTTTGACGCGTGCTTCGCTCCAAAATGAGCTCTTACTTGAAAGCTTCAAGTCCCGCTCACACGGAGACCTCCAACGAAGTCCACCCGCACCAACAAAACCGACTAGGTCCAATGTCTTGGGGTTAGCAAGACCCGACCAATAAAACCCGAGTAATTATATTGAGTTCAAAGGTTTTCACTAATTGTGATGCCTTTTTCAACTCTTACTCAAGCATCATTCCCAATGCCCATACTTGGGAATTTATAGTAAATGATGGGAGTATCATTTACTCTCCCATCAATGTGGGATAGTATGATTTTTCCATTTTATTTTAAAGCTAAAATAAAATTAATAATCAAGCTAGTAATAAATCAACAAGTGGCAAGCTCATGTGAGTGGTTAGGTGAGGACCACTTGGAGAAGGGGGGGACCAAACTTGCTCCCCACTCCCTTTCCCATAACCGGCCACCTCACTCCACACACACTCAAGGACCACTATCCACATGGCACCCACCCTTGGGCACCAAGGCAGCCAAGGTGGGCTGTCATGTGCTGCTGTCCGTGGCAGCCACGTCCAGCAAGCCCAGCAGGCCCAGTACTCGCATGCGGGCTGCCAGGCGCTGCTGGCCAGCAAGCCCAGCATGCTTTGTGAGGGCTGCTGCTGGCCTTGTGCCTTGGCCAGCACTCCTAGGCAGCAAGCAATGGCCTACCATGCTACTGCTAGCTGTGGCGAGCTGGCGCGCCTAGCGTGCTAGCTGCTGCAGCTTGTTGCGGCATGGCTTGCTAGCCATTGCGCGCACAAGGCTGTGCCTAGCATTCTAGCACGCACTAGGCAGCACCTAGCCTTGCGATGCTAGCATGGGTGCGCTAGCGCGCACCAGCCAGCCTAGGCTCGGCTTGGTGCGCATGCTAGCCACCATGCTAGGCCAATAGCCCTTAGCACTCGGTTTGCTCGGGCATTCCGATGCTAGGGGTATTTTGGTCTTTTGTTGATTTATTACTATTTCTCGTCTCGTCTTTCACTATTTTTCGACTCGACTTCCGACGCTTGGTTTCGACGCTCTGAGCTCGAATTTCCGACGTCTAAATAAATATTACTCGGTCGTCTCATTAACTCCTTCTGAATTAATTCGTCGTTTCGGTTTGTTGAATGCTTGGGTGTGACCCGAAGGGTTCAGTCAAGATTAAGCTGTAATATTAATTATTCATTAATATTACTGATCGAAAGCGGCCTCCACCCAGGCATTCCGATCACTTGACCTCACTGAATATATTAGCTTTCTAATAACTCTGAACCCACTAACGGAATAGTACACTTGTTCGAAGGACACCATTCCTTTCACCAGCATTCCCCAACTGGATGTGCCTCCGGAAAATCTTGGAAGCTGCTTCTTATAACTGCCAGGTCTCTGGAATGTATCCTGGTTTTCAAGGGATCTGGCAGAACTGGTCCCTTAAACGGTTGCAGGTAGTCAGCCGCAATGTTTTCTTGAGGGTAGAACTCGATGCCTCTGATCCGGATTTTTCGGCGTCTTCGTCACCGCCTGACTCTCTTTCATCATAGTCTAGGAAATAAGCATTATTCTTGTCGTCTGCCTCTTCCAAAATTGTATCACTTGGGGTTGAAGGGGTGCCATCCGAAACAGAACCCGACTACTCCTCCGAACCCTCGTACTCCTCATCAGGAGTAATTTCATCAGCGGGCACTTCCAGAGCACGCCGCTTCCTAGGCTTGGTAGCCGTCTGTTTGACTCTGGCCATTGTGTCCTGCATAGACATAGAGTTGTCTGTCCGAATGTCTAGAAAAGGCACCCCTGATTCTAGATTCAGCCGTACTAGGAGACTGGCTTAAAGACCTAGGCGGCGTCGTTTGTGTCAATGGAGAGTCCATTTTTATTTTGGAATCTTAACTATAAAAGTGGAAAAGTATAAAAGCTTGAAGGGATTAGAGGCGGATACCTTTAACTTAGCTCTGAAAAATCTAAAAACTGCTAAAAGCGGTGACCTGATGTGCTCCTTGAAACACAGACGGAAGTCTCAAACTTCACTTTAGACGAAGGCAGAGTCTCTCTCTGTAGAAATTCACTCTTTCTCTCTCTAAAAAGTCAATAGCTTGTGAAAAGTGAGAGGAGAGAGGGGTAAAAGCTCTATTTATAGAAGGGTGGGGCATCCCTTTCATACCCCAGAAGGTGAACAGTTTTCACTCTTCTCCACTCCCGGAATGCCGCGTGTCACAGGCACCACGTGGCCCGCCACATGCTACCTGTGAGGGGCAAATGTTTTGGGTAAGAATACCCTATTCATATGGACCAATCAGAGAGGGCCACGTGTTCAGCCCAGGCAGGTCAATTTGGGCCAATGGCCAGCTGACATGTGTCAGCCTCAGATACTTTTTGGAATTGCGCACTAGTGGAAAAATTTTCATTTATAACACCCTATTTGTAACGGGCATGATAAAATCCGTTACAAAAAGAGTACTTGTAACAGGAAAAATATTTGATCGTTACGGAAAAACTTATTCGTAACGGGCAAACAAATGTCCGTTACGAACAATTAATAATTGTAACAGGCAAATAAATATCCGTTACGAATGAAATATAAAGCCCGTTACAACTAAATAACTCTCTAGGGTTAAATGTTCGATCTGTTCCCACTTCCTCAGCCACATTTCTTCCTTACTCCTCTTCTTTTTCTCTCTCCTCATACCACTCTCTCTTTTCGCATCTATCTTCTTCCTCACTCATTTGCTCTTTTTCTCTCCTCAAATCACTCGCTCTCTCTACTCAAACAAGAAAATTGTCAATAGCTAAACTCACGAGTGATTTGCTCAAGAAGATTAGGGAGATCGAGGCTGATGAGACGTTGTCTGAGCCTGAAAAGGCGAAGAAGTGTCATCAACTTCTGGGTGGGGTTAGATCCGGAGCAAGCATCGATTGCCCACAACCACCGTCGCCGCCGTCGTCAATTTGAACCTAATACAACAACAACAACAAACTTGAATCAAGTATTGATTCAAAAATCAGAAATTTGATGATAGGGTTTCTGGGTTCTTTAGCTTTGCATTTCGGTCCAATTATTCAGGTTAAATGCCTTGATTTTTTTGGGTTTAATTTATGTAATATTGTTCAACAATTTACTCCATTTTTACTCACGATCCACTCTTCAAATCCTATTATTTTAGGGTTAGGGTTTTCTAAATGGACCCAGTTGCTTCGGTTGTCGATAATTTAAAATCATTTGCAAAATGCGGCCAATATCTTATCACCGGCATCACTCGCCGCCGGCAGAATTAGTCCCGTTAAAATCTGGTACGTTTTTTTGTTTCTCACTTCTGTTTTAATTTCTGTATATTATCATTTTGTTTGGCCTTGTTAATTTCTCAAATTTGATGCTGCAATGTTGTAAAATGCTGAATTTGATCTTGTTTCCAGCTTATTATATGCTAATTTACATTTTTTTTTGTAATTATTGATTTGATAGTGTCAAATTTGATCTTAATTGCTTGACTTGCTATAGTTTCTGCCAATTTTACTCAGGAATTATCATTTTAGCCAGTACAATTTGATCTTTACTTGAAGTTTTATGGAATATATGTTTTTTTTTTTGCTTTTCTTTTGAAATTTGATTAACTGATCTTAATAAGTATAAAGTTCACTATGATGTACATATGTTCTTTACAGAGTATGTGTTCCCTTGGGGGCTAACTCCCTTTTTATTTGTATTGCCATTTGGAGTTTTTTGAACAATTGAACCCCATATATGCACTTGGGTGCTGTTCCACATTGGGAAAAAGAGCAAAGTACCATTTTCCACTTCTAGGAAGTCATTGTATCTGTTGCCAATTGGCTTTAAGGCAAAGCCTCACTTAGTCTTATCCTAGATTGTTGTAAATTGTGATTACATATTTCATCTTGTTGCTATCACATAATACTCGATTTCTTTATGTGAAACTAGTAATGTTTTAGTTGCATTTGTATGTGTAGCCATTCACTGGCCCTTGAGGAGATCATGGATTGGAGACTAAAATGAGTGTTTTGCCAAACATATGATTTTGAAGCTGATGTGCATTTTCTTCTCCAGTCTTTTGAAAATTTCTTTGCTTGTCTACCTTTTTTTAGGTACAAAGACGTATTGCACAAAATTGTGAGGCTACTCGCAAAAGTCGTATGCGGAAAAAGGTGGGAAGAGAAGTGTTACAAGTTTAATGAGTTGTGGTACTTGTTTTCTGCTGATCTAATTCTTCTTGGAACTTTGTTATTTATAGGTCTATATTCAGCAATTAGAGTTGAGCCATTCAAAATTGATGCAAATGGAGCAAGAGCTTGAACGAGTGAGATAACATGTATGATGATAATTGACATAATTCTCATCGTCCTTCTTATCTATTATAGATGTGTTTCCTAAAGTCTGCATCTTTAATCAAAATGCAAAACACATCCTTGAATGGTTGATTCCAGGGTACGCTTGTGAGCAATGGTATTGACCCGCTTCCTTTCTCTGCCACTGTAAATTCAGGTTTGCCTTCCAATATGTCTACTTCTAGCCTTCTTCTACTTAAAATTTCTGTCTTTTGATAAACTGCTAATTCAATTAGTTGTTTGTGTAATATATAGCTGCAAATTAAGTCATTATTTTAAGAATGCACGTATTGCTCATTCAATCATTTAAAAAATTAAAAAATAAAAAAACTGCTAAGTGGAGTAAGGTTTAATAAATTAAAACAGACCAATCAAGAGTCTTTTGAATAATAGCCTTCTTATTTTGAATTGTAGAATTCTACAGTTGTATAGCTTGATATATCAGCAATCTATTTTCAAACAAGATCAATTTAAGTCATTTGAAAGTTGTAAGCAGAGTGCTGAGTATAGATTTTATTGTTAATTGATATTGAGATAGACTATGAAACTATACTGAAGTAAAGTCAGACTATATTGCTGCCAAAAAAATAAAGAAAAAAGAGTCAGACTATTGGGAACTTGTGACTCCAAATTGTCTCTTGATCTCATTTCCTATCTCCATTACTAGATCCTATGCATTCATCCTTATTTACCAATATGGGGTTATTTTTAGTGCATACCTATTAAGCTTACTTTAATTTTAAAACATGAGACTTATTCTTTCTTTTATTATTTTTTTTTCTTTTTAGGGATTGTTGCATTTGAGATGGAGTATGGAGATTGGGTTGAGGAGCAGAATAAACAGATTTGCGAACTCAGAAATTCATTGAATACCCATATAACCGATGTTGAACTTTGGATTCTGGTAGATAGTGGCATGAAGCACTATTATGATCTTTTTCAATTGAAGGCAGGTGCAGCAAAGGCCGATGTATTATATTTCTTTTACTGCTGCATTGAATACCCATATAACCGATGTGAATCCTTGCACTGCATAAAAGTATAGAAGTATTATATTGAATTTTTTGGTTTGAGGAATGTTTTTAGCACTAAAGGGGTTTGATTGGCATTATTTCCTATGGGACTTGATGAATTTTAGATGTTCTTGATCATGTAAATCAAATTTCTTGAATGCATTGATTTGCTTTTTAAAAATCTTTTTTATTTGAATTTTACCTTTTGCTGACAATCAATTGTGTTTGTTTCTATTACAGATAATGTTGGAGTAATTGTCAACCCCAAGGGTGAAATGAAAGGTATGTGATTGCACCAACTTTGAATATTATGGGGGATCTTTGTGACTATATTTGAGCTTTGTTAGTTCGGGAGTAGTTTGACATGGTAGCTAAGAATTTCATGGCATTTTGGTAGACTGTTCAATTTCCATGAAACCTGAATTTACTTGAATTTATATGGAATGTGTAACATGCATATCAACTTATGTAATGGTTCAAAACAAAAAAAAAAAATTCTTAAGTAAGGGGACTGGGTAGGTAGGTGAAGTAAACTTCCCTTGTCATCAAAATTTTGTTACAAAGATTTCCCTTGCCATTTATCAATGGAACCTTTTGCACCCTACATCCCATTTCTTGTTGATTTATGATCCAAAACACAGCACAATCTTGTGAATTAATGTTGTACAAGTTGCTTCTTATAGCTTTCGACTTGTACACAATCAACCCTTTTCTGTTTTTGTTAACTGAAAAAAAGTCTATTGACTAGTGTTGCCGCAGAACATTTCTCACATGTTTTGAGACTAGCATCTGATGAGTTGATGTGTTTAGGTGTGAACTCTCTGTTATTTTGACATGGCTGCATTTCAGTGTATATGTTTATAACATTTGTCTGAGATGTAAAGCATTCGAAGCTTCTTCACCTCTGTGGGTGTCTTCTGAACAAATAGAACATAAAAAGCTTATTATGCCAACAATTTTACTGTTTATGAAGTTTACTTCTCTGCTTATTGTCGATTACAATATAATTGTTTATATATCCCCATCTTAATCCATATCTCTCTGTGTTTCAGGATCTACTATTACTGGTCCCATTGCAAAGGAGTGTGCTGATTTGTGGCCAAGGATTGCTAGTGCTACCAATGCCATTGTCTAAGAGATGTCGTTCAGAGTTTCCAATTTTGTTTTGCTATAATTCTGAATGTTTATAGTTGGATAAATGAACAATGCCGGTTTGATAGGATGTGTTAAGTCAATTTGTGAGTTTGCAAGATATTAGTTGATTGTATATTAATTTATACTATATTTGTATAAAATATAAATATCTCACATTATTAATTGATAAAATATTGTGCAAAGCAATCCAGCATTTGCTGGATTTTTTTTTATTAGATCACACACTATTTGTAATGGGCAGATTTTAGGCCCGTTACAAATAATTAAGTATTCGTAACGAGCAAAACATGTTCTGTTACGAATAACGGGATTATTGTAACGGACATTTGGATGCCCGTTACAAATAACGGAAATTCCCGTTACGAATAACCCCGTTATTTGTAACGGGCACTTGTGCCCGTTACGAATAACAACTTATTTGTAAAATTTTCTGAAGGCGCATTACGTATCCGAGTGAAAAATTTTCGTAAAGCTTTTATATTTCCCATTCTATCTTTGGAATTTACGATCATATCATCCACATGTACTTCTATTTCTTTATGCATCATATCATGCAAGAGAGTCGTAGTCGTTCTTTTGTACGTAGCTCCTGTATTTTTTAAACCAAATGGCATGACTATGTAGCAATACGTACCCCAAGGGGTAATAAAGCATGTCTTTTCTTCGTCTTCTTTTGCCATTAAAATTTGGTTGTAACCTGCGTATCCATCCCTTAAGGATAACATCGCATGTTCAGCCGTGTTATCTACCAATATATCAATATGTGGTAGAGGAAAATTGTCTTTAGGGCTAGCGTTATTAAGATCCCTAAATTCGACACACATGCGAGTTCGTCCATCCTTTTAAGGGACTTGAACGATGTTCGCTACCCATTCTGGGTAATTACATACGCAAATAAAACCGGCGTCTAACTGTTTTTGTACTTCTTTTATTTTTAATGCGACATCAGGTTTCATTCGTCGAAGTTTTTGTTTTACTGGTTTAGAAGTAGGGTTCAAGGGAATGGTATGTTCCGCGATTTCCCTATCTATTCCAGGCATGTCCTTTTAAGACCAAGCAAACACGTCTTCGAATTCTTTGAGCGTCTATATGAGGGTCGATCGCTCTTCCGGATTTAAAGTTAAGCCAATTTTGACTTCTCTTTTATTTTCGTTGGTTCCTATTTTAGTTATTTCAGTTTCTTCAACGATAGGGTTCTTTTGTTCTCGTCCATTCATTAGTTCAACCAATTTATTAATGTTATCATCTTCATTAGATTGATTTTTATAGCATTCGAAATATTCAAGAGAAGGCATATACTCGGAAATAGAGCTCATATTATTAAAATCAAAAGAAAGTACATCAAGAGAAGAATCCTTTTTGGGATCTTCGTCCTTAGAACTAGAAAATAAAGACTCAGTAATGGCCACAAGGCCTAAATTTTCAGCTTTCCTAGAGTGTATAATAGATTCATCATTCGCTTCTTCAAACATCTTCCCTTCGTCTGTGACGATTTCCAATTTATCGCCTTTGTGATTGGTCCATTTGAAATATTTCCTCCATCCATACTCAGTTTCGTTGGAAAGGGTAATCAACGAGGTTGGGTCAAAAGCTTCATCTTGAATGGCGTTTTGATTGGTCATTGTTGCGACATGATTTTGCTCTAGTCCAAATAGCAAGTTAAATACTTGCCCATCATAGCTCCCTAGAGTTGGGTGTTTTGATTTAACGATACTAAGATCGTCATCCAAGAACTAGCAATCATGAAATATTTCAAATCCAGGCTTCTTGATTACTTCCAAAACTAAGGTTTTCGGAAATTCATAGCATGGGTAATCTTCTCCCTCCCTAATGAATTGCCCATTAAGGGTTTGTTGATAGGATGGGAGTAATGTGATTATCCCTTTGTTATTATTGTCTCTACGTGCTTTCTTTTTTGCATCGTGAGACTCCAATTCTTCTTTGGTTGGTTTATATCCTAATACAAAGGAGAAGCTTTTCTTTGGGATAGGAAGTAAGAGAGATTTCTTCATTCCTATTCCCAAAGGCATCCCAGGAAAGTAAATACTCTTGAGCAAGATGTTTTTTACTATCCGAGTGGAATATGGATCAAGCTTGAATGTTTCTTCAAAGTCTTCTTCCATTTTAATTGTGAAGATTCGCTCCACGATGAATCCTCACATGTCCTCTTCATCATTATCATGGTTTATTTCTAAGAGTGATTGATCATTTATTGCTATTTTGAGTGGAGAAGCATGTATAATCGTAGGAAGCCCTTGATAGTTCAACCTAATCATTTGATGAAGTGAGGATGGTATCGCACCAAGCTCATGTATCCATGGACGTCTAAATAAAAGGTTGAATGTAGGTTTTATGTCCATAGCATGGAATTCAACCATCTTTTGAATTGGGCCTGTGGTAATTGGTAGCTTAATAGTTCCACACACCTGTAGACACCCATTTGTGTCTCCCCAAAACCAAACCCAGTGATGAATACCTTTCATGTCATTTGATTATCGAACAAAGAGAAAATGTGAAAAGTCTAGTGATGAGGATGTTTTTATTAAAATATCTCTTCTTTCTGTTTTTGAAAATATTTCTTTTCTTACCTTATTTATGAAAAACGTGCTTTCCAGTTTAGTTTGGTCCATTATAAGGTTTTAATAATGGTGTAGTTGGATGGGGCTTGAAAAGACCTTTCCAACGATATATTATAAGCCCAATTCCGATGAATAATGAGGAGGATATGGCCAAAATATTAAACTGGGCCCGATTTGATTTTTATATGCGGCCCAATGATCTAGAGTAGGGCCTATTATTAATTATCATTCGTAAATCTATTAGGATTGATTATAGTCTTCTAGAATACTCTAGAAGGTTCTTCTAAATCCCAATGGAATTAGGATTGATAATTATGTTTCAAAGAGTTTGAAATTGAATAAAACTACTCCTTTTGAGAATCCTTATTTTGTACGAAGTGGAATATATTCAGATTTTATTTTTGTGCCTCATAATATTTATCCAAATTTTATATGTTTGGGTAGATCTTGAAATTATCTTTCCAATGATATATTATAATTTTAAATCCGAGTTATAACGAAAAAGATATGAATGAGATATGAAACTCTATCCAAAACTGACACCTTTCCACTATTTCGGCCATATCTTTTTATCTACAAAAGATTTTAATCTTATTCTAATTGGGTTGGAAATTAGACTTAAAGAGATTTCCAACGACATATTATATTCCTTATTTTAACTTCCGAATCAAAAGATATGATAAAAACAAAAAAACGCGTGATACTGATTATTAGCGCCTGACGACAAGCATTAGCGCCTGGCGCTAACCTTCAGCGCCTGGAAATAATGACCAGCGTTTTGCGCTTATCGTGTTTTATTCTCGTTGAAACTTTGATTTATTTTTTTTATCCATCCGACTGATTTTCTCAAATAGCCTCCTAAAACCTCTGTTTTTTAATCATCAATTCTCAACAATCATCAATTTTCATCAATTATCATCAATTAATCTCATCAACTCTCATCAAGAATTTCTTTATTCTCTCTCTCTTTCTAAACCGACCCTTTTACAAACACAATTCATCATACATTAGGACTAGACACACCTAGCCAAGTTCAAAGTTGCCTTCGCCCTACACGTGAAAGGTTTGATATTTCTGAGGGTTTGGTCCCTAATCTTTATTTTAATTATTTAATTTAATTGTTGTTTATTATTTTCCTTAAAGTTACTAACGCGTGTATTTTGTTATAAGAAAGAGGTACGAGGCATTATAGTAAGTACTTTAATTTATTTATTGATATTATGATTTAGAAATCATGTCTAGGTTGTTATTATGATTCCTAGTGTTATGTTAGGGTGTTTTGATTAACTAGTATCATGTTTAGGGTATCAACTATAATTTCTATTATCAAATATGACCATTACGTTTCCTACGATGCTTTCTATTTTTCCTAATATTCATGTTAGTATCATGTTAGGATTAAAGTTTTGATTTTAATTGCTTAGTGACATGCTAGGGTTTGTTATTAATCTTGCTAGTATCATGCCTAGGATCTTGCTATTAATATTATGCTTTAATATTATTATGATGATTATTTTAATTATAATTTATTATTATTATCATGTTGCTTGATTTATTTTTATTGCTTGATCACGCCTTTTATGAATGTTTAAAGGAAATTTGTACTTGTAATCACACTTAATAAGATAATTAATAATCTTGTTTAGGGTTAATGTGATTATAATTCAAGTGATCGCCAATAATAGTTTTGTTTGTGCATTAATATTCAACCAACATAGATTAAACAGGTTTAGGGGTAACCTATTGATTGCATGTTAGTCAGAAAGCGCACATGAATACGATCAGAATAAAGTAAAGGCCTATTATTAGGGCAGGTTAAATCTGTTTTAGGTTGGATTTGTACCTTCATCCCCGAACTACCAGTCACGGTTCCAGACCTATTGGAGTTGACGATCTCCTGGATCGTTAAGGGGTTTAACCTTCACCCTATGAACGGTTTACAAGTTTCTAAAACTTGTTGGCGACTCTTTTGCTCTAGCTTCTTTCCCTTTGGACGCCACCTTACTTTAGTGTATGATCACAGTGGGGTTCAAGCTAGGGATAATGACCAGCGCCTGGCGCTAATCGTGTTTTATTCTCGTGGAAACTCTGATTTGTTTTTTTATTCATCCGACTAATTTTCTCTATAAATAGCCTCCTAAAACCTGTGTTTTTAATCATCAATTCTCAACAATCATCAATTTTCATCAATTATCATCAATTCTTCTCTTCAACTCTCATCAAGAATTTCTTGATTCTCTCTCTCTTTCTAAACCAACCCTTTTACAAACACAATTCCTCATACATTAGCACTAGACAAACCTAGCCAAGTTCGAAGTTGCCTTCGCCCTAGACGTGAAAGGTTTGATATTTATGAGGGTTTGGTCCCTAATCTTTGTTTCAATTATTTAATTTAATTGTTGTTTATTATTTTCCTTAAAGTTACTAACGCGTGTATTTTGTTATTAGAAAGAGGTACGAGGCATCCAAGTAAGTACTTTAATTGATTTATTGATATTATGATTTAGAAATCATGTCTAGGTTGTTATTATGATTCCTAGTGTTATGTTAGGGCGTTTTGATTTTCCTAGTATCATGTTTAGAGTAGCAACTATAATTTCTATTATCAAATATGA